ATGATATAAAATATTTTTCATTTGAATTTCCTTTAGCAGTTAAACCATTCGGGTCACCATCTGGATAATTATCACGCAAATTAGTAAAACGGCAGCCATGAGGCGGATAATCACATATATGAATAATATTACGAGTTGGATTTCTCCAATTCATTTTATTTACTGCAGCATAAAGACCACCTAAAACATCCTCTGGAATATCACTACGTGTACTTCCGTTAGCTGATACATTATTGGTTATATATGTTTCAAATTTCTAATACAAGTCAGTAAAGTGAATATCTGTATATTATTATCATATTCATGGTCATGATAACCACAAAACAAACCATAATTTAATATTAAAATTATTACTGTTCAATTCTTTTGCAGCAATGACATAATTTTTCTTTTTCATAGATTTCAGTGCAATCTAAACAAAACAAAGGTCGACAACCATTAAAAGATTTAATGTTGATTGCTTTTGTAATATAACATTAATTGTTATGAACGATCTACGATATCAGGGTTTAAACAGGTTTATAACCCGTGACAACGCCCTGGCATTACACCAGAATGACGATTTTGTAATTTTCATAACACAACCCTATTACAGCATTATGGCGTTATCTTATGCGTGCCATAACGATAACGGTAATTCCGATATAAAATTTAGCACAAGGCAAAATTTACATAGACGAATCATTAAACCATGTTTTGACAAGTAAAAACCTGTAAATCTGCATCAAACTCAAATCAGAACGTGCACCCATTATTGATGTATTAAGCTCATTGTCAGCACGTAAAAGCCATTTATCATATGAAACATAACGATTGTTTTAAAGTTATTCCCAATAAACCTTATAATATACGTGTTAGCCCGCTAAAACTTGGTCATAAAATTTTCAATGTATGCATACATACAAAGGTTTTTATTCGTAATTCTTGTAATGTGATCACAAATTTAATAATTTTTCTATATTTTGCATGCAGAACATTTTATTCTAACAAAAGATTCATTTGTATAATCAATTCTTTTTGAAGCCTTTTGTGTTTTAAAACTTTTCATTTGTCTGAAAGGCTTTCGCTTATATTATTGTTGTTCGCGAAAAATAATCATTGTTTGAATAAACAATAATACGGTCGAAAAAACAATTTATGTAAAACTTTTTGCCAACATTCTAATTTTATTAAGATGGAATAGAATAACAATATATAAAATGTCCAAATTAATTATTTTATCATGGATATAAACTATTTGCAAATATTAAATATTGTTACGGTCGTATCCTTTAAAATCTGAGATGAACTTATGCATATATTCATACCGATACTGATGATGGAAAAAAAAATACGATTATAATATACTTTATATAGTGAAAAATTTTATTGCAAAATAATGACAATAATGTATTTGAATTTAAACTATTATAATTACTTGCCTATTTTGCTCAATTGGGATATTGGTATAGGGTGCAGCCTGCTTAATTAACAAAAATAGTTGGTTTGATTATTTTGTTAAATATTCAGTAAAAATTCTTAAAAAAAAAAAATTCAATAAAGAGCCGTTTATTTAATTTTTTTGCATTATACCTGATTACTGTTTACGTGTTCGAACGAATAGTTTTATTAACCAATACATAATCTTAAAGACTTAATTACTTAAAAATACATATTTAGAAAACCTTAAGTATTTGAATAAAATTGTAATGCTTATTAAATTCTATTTCAGGGAAATCGGAAGATATGAATAAAAAAAAATCCAAAATATTTGATTTTACCAAATCTGAACCTTTGGGTTTTACGAATAAATTCTAATGCTCTATTAAATTCTATTTAAAGTAGTTTTATTTTCCAATTTAAGTTTGATTTTGCGAATAAATTCTATTTCAGTGGAATCAGGAAGATATTTATAAAAAAAAAATTTAAATTTTGCCAAATTTGGGGTTCCTTAAAGCGGGACAGATTATGCCAATAAATTTTGCCAATCAAATCGCGAAACTGTGATAATCTGACGAAGAAAAACAAACGAAAAAAAGAGAAAATGTGAAATCCTAAGAAACAGCAGTCCAAAACCCTGTTTGGTGCATTAATAAAAATGTCGGGAAGGTAATATTATTTATATAAACGACCATAACTCTAATCCGAGTTGGCTTTAACCCTAATGTTAATGAAAAGTGTTTTTTTCACGTAATCTGCCCACCAAAAAAAGGTCGAAAAAAATTTCTACAAAATTTTTTATGTAAACACTAGAAACTCTCCATCTTCAAAGTTGAGAGGAGGTAATGTTAATGTAAAAAACATAGTTTCAGTTGGTCTGGCTTTAAGTATTGGTTTTGCACCAAGTGTTTGAATAAAATTCGAATGCTCTATTAAATTCTATATCAGAAGAATCGGGAAGATATTTATAAAAAAAATTTAAAATATTTTGATTTTTAAACTTTAATTTTGGATTAAATGTTTCTATTAAACATTTGCGCAAAAAATTTACGCGCGATTCGTGCTTAATGTCTGCAAATGATTCTATTAAAATGATGCCAATTTGTTCTAATCTACTTTCGAAACCGAGAAAAATTTCAATAATGACATGATAAGTTAATTGAAATCCGAGCTCAATTAGTTCAGTTAATCGCGCATTAATGATTTTAATGTCAGGCTTTAACCACCCAGAAGACGGAGTAGGTGGGAAAATAATAAGGAGGGCTCCTTGCATTACTAGATCGTTTACATCATGACAGATTTCATAATAACCGATTTCTTTCCACAAAGGCACGATATCTTTACAGATAAGGACGACACGTGCGATAACGTTAAGTTGTCGTTTATTTTTGTGTCCATATTTAGAAGGATATTCTTCAATAGAATTCTTTTCTTTTCTTGATGGGAGCGGAATGAATTTGAAATGTAATATCAGATCTTTAATTTGGTCCATATTTTTTGCCATTACAAGTGGAGAATAGTGCGTTGTATAAGGTCTGCCTAATAAAAAGTGAAATAATTTCATATCATCGCCTTTTAAGCATAGATCATGATTATATATGTCTGATGCTGCTTTTAATAAAAACATATAAACAGAAATATGTAAATTACTAGCCCAAGGAATTATTTTACTTGATTGTACTGAGGCCATCCCGTGAGCAGCTTTTAGTTCTATTAACTTCTGATCATAACAACCGAAATTCAAATGAATTCTCTGAATGGAATATCTAGAAATTATGCCCCCTTTCGCGATTATTGCCTGCGCAACCGCTACATCTAAAAATGAAGGACCTAATTGGATGGCATAAAAAAGACAATTTGCAGCACCAAATTGATAAATAATCCATTCTGCTTTCACTTGAGGGTCTTTAAATATTATTGCCAGTCTTCTGCAGCATAAGATTAAGTTCTTAGGGTATCTTATGCGTTTAGTGATGCCAGTTAAGATTTCTGTAGGTAATACATTTTGAATGTACAATTTGCTCATTTTCTTGATAAATTAACCTGAAATTGATAACCATTTTTTGTTTAATTAGAATTGAATTTGAATCATATCGGTGGATTTCTGAAATGAGCCGTAGCTCTGGTCAAATTTGCAGATCATTTGTCCAGGTTTGAAGTCCTTCTAATACCCTAGCCATGTTCTTACAAAATAATCAATTTGTACATCGTCCCTGCGCAGAATTATCCTAAAATTATTACGTAAGTTCGTGCATTATATTTGCTATTTTCAGCAATATATTTTTCTAAATTCTCCGTTGTTTAAATTAAACCTCTCGAGCTTCTACATTCAAATTATAGATAGATTGTTCGGAAATTATTTTCGATCAAGATTTATTTATTGAAAAAAAAATACAGGCATAGCGCTTTATACTTTCCCTTTTACGTGTAATAACAATTACTTGACGTCAATAATCTCCCTCATTTTAATTTGGGATCAGTATAGAGTATACGCAGCCGCACGAGAATGGTGTGGCGTAACTACAGAAGAAACATTTATCAAATCCTTAGTCTCATTCCTTCAGGGTTTGTACTGCGGACTTGCACAGTCATATAGAGTAACACATAGAGGTGAACAAAGAACAGTGGTTGAATGTTAAGAATTCTTAATTCCGCGAACCAGTTCTTTTCAGGTGGGTGGGTATCTTTGATAGAGCCAAAATTTATTTTTTCGGATGAGCACAATAAATAAAGACTCCCTTTAAGCCTTTAAATATTATTCTAATGACGGTAACAATTGGCGTGATAATTATCCAGATGGTGACCCGAATGGTTTAACTGCTAAAGGAAATTCAAATGAAAAATATTTTATATCAT